TAGAATAGAATAGAATAGAATAGAATAGAATAGAATAGAATAGAATAGAATAGAATAGAATTCAATTCTTTATTGGCCAAGTGTGATTGGACACACAAGGAATTTGTCTTGGTGTAAATACTCTCAGTATACATAAAGAAAAGATACATTCGTTAAGAATCAAGAATCATAACATACAACACTTAATGATAGTCATAGGGTACAATCAGCAATCAAATCATACTAGAAAACAGTCATTATAAATCATAAGGATACAAGAGACAAAGTTACAGTCCTACAATCACAAGTGGGAGGGAATGGGTGATAAGGAGAGATGACAAGATTAACAGTAATAGTAGTGCAGACTTTGTAATAGTTGGACAGTGTTGAGGGAACTATTTGTTTAGCAGAGTGATGGCTTTTGGGAAAAAACTGTTCTTGTGTCTAGTTGTTCTGGTGTGCGGTGCTCTACAGCATCGTTTTGAGGGAAGGAGTTGAAACAGTTTATGTCCAGGATGTGAGGGGTCTCTAAATATTTTCACTGCCCTCTTTTTGACTCATGCAGTATACAGGTCCTCGATTGAAGGCAGGTGGGTAGAAATTGTTTTTTCTGCAGTCCTAATTGCTCTCTGAAGTCTGTGTCTGTCCTGTTGGGTTGCAGAACCAAACCAGACAGTTATAGAGGTGCAGATGATAGACTCAGTAATTCCTCTGTAGAACTGTATCAGCAGCTCCTTGGGCAGTTTGAGCTTCCTGAGTTGGCACAGAAAAGAACATTCTTTGTTGTGCTTTTTTGATGATGTTTTTGATGTTAGGTCATATTTTAGGTGATGTGATTTAGTAGAACCTAGAAACTTGAAGGTCTCTACTGTTGATATGGTGTTGTCTAGTATTGTAAGAGGTGGTAGTATGGGAGGGTTTCTTCTAAAGTCTACCACTATTTCTACAGTTTTGAGTGTGTTCAGTTCCAGATTGTTCTGGTTACACCATGAGGCAAGTTGTATAACCTCCTGTCTGTATGCAGATTCGTCGTTGTCTCGAATGAGACCAATCACTGTTGTGTCACACTGGAGAAAGTCTAGCTATCACGTCACTAGTTGTTGATACCCAAATGGCAGCCTATAATCAGTCAATCCCTGAGTGCCTACTCATACTACAAACCCATACAGGGCAATATTCAGAAAAGTCTTCATGAAAAACAATCTCATGATCTTGGGATAACTTTCTGGAGTGTCTTACCTTTGTTCAGGAAGAAGGCCTCATCAGTACCAGACAAAGTGAATTATAATGTCCCCACTGGCTAGTGACAAAGTATTCCATTGTTTTACCACATGACAATCTTTAGGACCTCAAAATAGGTTTATAAGCAGTAATGGGGTTCAAAAAAATTTTTACTACCAGTTCTGTGGGTGTGGCTTGGTGGGTGTGGCAGGGGAAGGATACTGTAAAATCTCCAGTTAGAGGTGATATTTGCCGGTTCTCTGAACTATGCAAAATTTCCGCTACCGTTTCTCCAGGACTGGTCAGAACCTGCTGAATACCACCTCTGTTTATAAGGTAAAAGGCAGTCAAAGGTCCCTGAATTGTTCCCCTCCTGATGCTTAAATTCGGATTATACCCCTGAGCCCTGCAAAATTATTTTCTCCAACTACACACCTCTGTTACACCAGTCATTCCCATTTCCCCTTCTAATTACTAAAATCATTGTGATTTGTTCTAGTTTTTAAAAAAAGACTTATGGGATTTCCACCACCACATTTAGTTTTAATGCAATCCAACAAAAAGGGAATATGCAACAACTGAGCATCTGTCCTGTATCTACTTCAAACATTGCTGAGTGAAGAGGAGGAATTAGCACTGTGCTAGTTTGAAACTGTGGGTTCCTTTTTCAGATCTGGGGAAAACTGGAAAAATCTTCACAGCACAGAATTCATTTTGTGAGTTCTGAGACCCCACACCGTGAAAGAGAGAGCAATGTAGGACCTCCATCAACACACATCAAGTGCTACTGCTAAAAAAAAAATGCAGCTTTTTCTGCTTCTGCTTCTGTCCCAATTTCCCTGTGCAACAATGCAGACAAAATGTTCATTGAAGATGGCAATAGAAGGATTGAAGCAGTTTAATTTCCAGAAGCCAGGAGACTACCTGATTACTGGAATTACTTCTAAAATAATTTCTCAATTTTACCCACATGTTTTCACCAAGCCACCAACCTACAGATTGAGAAGGTAATTTGGCATCTACAAGATTCTGGTGATTGAGTTTACCCTCCCCAATGTTTTCTCTTTTCCCAACTTCTCACCCTGAAAAGGACAGGTCATTAGTGCTTCTCCCAATTTGTTTTAAGGGAAAAGATTCTGGGCACAGGATGGATCTTTAAAAGTTGAGCATTGCAAAGTGCCTTTTCAGTCCTCTTGCAGGGTCTGTTTTAATTGACCAATTTTGTTAGAACCCTTCTAACTCTTTCTTGGATGGGGTTCTTTCTCTTCTGAAAATCATTTCCTTGATACTGTAGAGATTCAGAGAATATATATTTTTATTTATATTTCATAGTTATATAATTGCCCAGAATCTCACAGTCAAATGGCTCACAGTGACTTTTTGAGCTTGCTTACCACAATCTTCTCTCCTTTCCTATCTAGCATTCTGTCCTTCCTGCCTCCATTTCCAACATTTTTTCCAACTGATGCCTTTTACCTATTTTATAGGCTTTTGTGGTTTCCATTTTACTTTTGATTTAAGTAGCAATGGCACTTAGACTTATATACTGCTTTACAGTGCTTTTCCAACCCTCTCTAAGCAGTTTATAGAGTCAGCCTATTGCTCCCAACAATCTGGGTCCACCTCGGAGAGATGGAAGGCTGAGTCAACCTTGAGCCTAGTGAGATTTGAACCGCCAAACTACAGGTGGCCGGCAGTCAGCAGAAGTAGTCTGCAGTATTCCACCCTAATTACTGTGCCACCATGGTTCATAATAATAATAATAATTTTAAAGACTAAATTCACAAAGGTTAGAGACCTTACATAATAAGCTAATGTTATAACTATTGAGGATCACATTGAAGATTTTTTGACTAAAAGGCACTAACTCCAAAGATATCAATATTTAACCACAAAACAGTCATTGGCTCTAAAGATAGTTTGTTGATTAGTGATAATACCACTTATTGACTGAATCCAGTACTTGAATCCATTCATACGTCACTTTCCAAGAGGAAGAAATAATGTAACATTATGAGAACCTATATGCACATGTGGCAAAACTCTCCTTTGAGAATTTTGGAGGGGTACAAAGCAGAGGTGGTATTCAGCAGGTTCTGACCAGTTCTGGAGAACTGGTAGCAGAAATTTTGAGTAGTTCAGAGAACCAGCAAATCCCACCTCTGACTGGAGATTTTACAGTATCCTTCCCCTGCCACGCCCACCAAGTCATGCCCATAGAACTGGTAGTAAAAAAATTGAATCGCACCACTGGTACAAAGACCTCACTCACTCACTTCCTCAAAGATTGGGCTACGGTGGGTGAAACTGTGAGAATGCCTAGCCTGGCTTCCAGAGTAGGAGTAAGTTTTAACCATGTTTTATCAATGTTTCTGAGCTGCTCAGAGTCATTCTATACAGTAGATGTTATTTTGCAGCGAGTCGACAATATTCCATGACCTCCTGCTCTTCTTCTCGGCTGTTCATAAGATCAACCAGAATCCTAGACTCCTACCCAACATCACCCTGGGCTACAACATCTATGATAATTTCCTCAATGCAAGAGTAACATATGAGGTCATGATGGACTTGCTGTCTACAGGGCAGGAGCACGTCCCAAATTACAGATGTGGAAGACAAAAGAATCTCCTGGCAGTTTTTGAAGAGACAGATTCTGAACTCTTTGATCATATTTCTACTGTCTTGGGCATCTACAAAATTCCACAGGTAGGAAGCTAAAATGATCTTATGAGCCGTGGTGGCGCAATATATAGTGTGCAGTACTGCAGGCTACTTCTGCTGACTGCTGGCTGCCTGCAATTTGGCAGTTCAAATCTCACCAGGCTCAGTTTTGACTCAGCCTTCCATCCTTCTGAGGTGGGTAAATTAGGACCCAGATTGTTGGGGGCAATATCCTGACTCTGTAAACCACTTAGAGGGGGCTATAAAGCACTGTGAAGTGGTATATAAGTCTAAGCACTATTGCTATTGGTAAGGGACCATTATCTTCTTTCCTCACAGATCAACTGTGGTGCTATCAACCACATTATTCAGCAAAGTCATCATTTTCCTTTTTTCTATCGGATGATCCCAAAACAAGAGCCTCCCTACTCAGCTATTGTCCAGCTGCTCCTGCATTTCCGATGGACGTGGATCGGCCTTTTTTCTCAGGACAATGTAAGAGGAGAAAACTTTAAAAGAAGCTTGGAAACTCTAGCTGTAAAAAATCAGATTTGCATCATCCTCTCACAAATCATCCCAGCAGCAAATCTGAATATACATACTGGAGATTTTTTTGTGCAAGAACAAAAAAAAATGTTCCTTCTCCTTATTAATATCCACATAAAAATTATAGTATGTCAACTAGATTTTCATGCCACAGCAATGCTACTAACAGTCATAATCATTAATGAAAAGAAGAATATATTCATTGAGGGAAAAGTGTGGATTGCAACAACTTTGTCAAAATTAAGCATAAGAATGCTTTCCAACAAACTCGATCTCCATCGTAAGCATGTTTTGTTTTCCTTCTTCACTCAGACAAACAGGAGACAATATTATAACTTTAATTCATATTCCTCTTCTGATAAAGAGTTTGTAAAGGAAGTGTTTCATTGTTCCTATTCAAAGCCTTTATGGTCTAAAAAAGTTTGGGAAAGATGTACAGAAAAAGAGAGTAGGCTATTACCACCCCTTAAGGCGCTTGATAGAATGATAATTGAGGATGGCTCCGGTATTTCCAGAGCAATACATGCTGTGGCCTCAGTCCTCAGTGCTGCTTCTTCCTCCCAACTGAGTAAAAGGAGGATGCTGGTTGGAGACCATCAGTCATCTCCGATTGTGCAGCCATGGCAGGTAAGCCTTCTCCTTTGAGGTTCCACTGGTGCTCCCCTTTCACTTCATACGTATTAAAATTGGGTGTAGGATGTGATATTCCAAACAGCAGTTTCCCAGTTTGTAGTATTTGTAAGTGAGTGAGAGAAATTATAAAGATAACACTTGCAAACTGAAACCAGTTTAATTTGGGATGCTGCAATGACAGGTATCTCCATGGTGACAAAGTACTCCCCTTCCCCAATTTGTAAATTAAATAAGCTTCAGGCTACTCCAGCAATTCTCAGATCAGCTTCTGATAGCAATAGATAGCTAAAATACAGATCTATCCCACTACAGGAATCAGTTGATTTACAGTTTAAGAGCAGTTTGTTACACACTTATATCTATGAAAATAAGAATCTCCAACCTAAGCATTTCAAGTATTTTTATTCTGCATCAGAAATAAGTTCAGTAAAAATTTAAACTTCCAGCATTATTTAATTTTAATTTTTCCTTAAAATCATTACGCTGAGCTATGGTTTAACAAGTCAGTTTATTGATTCCTTCAATAAAATGAAAGGCATATCTAAAAAATATTGTGTTCAAGAGAAAGGAGCAAAAGAAGCTTCCAATAAAATTCCCAATCATCCTTTTAAAACCAAAATGCTGAGCTAACATATAAATTATTCAATACATTTCCAGAATAATAGACAGAAAAACATTGAATAAGGGTTCGAATGGGAATGTGTTTGCTCCTTGTGTGATTTTCTATGTCTTTGTAGCTTCATCACTTCATGAGAAACTTTCAGCTTCATAACATTTTCAATGATAGCATTTATTTGGATGAAAATGGAGTTCCTGCAGTTGACTTTGATATCATACATTTGAGAATGTTTCCCCAAAAATCTTACCCTGCAGTGAAGGTTGGGAGTGTAGAAAGAGAAACTGCTTCTGAAGTCAAGGTCTCCATCAATCAGAGTGCCATCCAATGGCCAACATCATTTAACAAGGTAGCTGAAAAGATCTCCAAATAGGAGAAACTAAAACTCAGTAATTCATTAGATATCACATAATTTTAAAATATTTTTCAATAGTTTGTCACAAACGGGAAACCAGCTACACTACCAATTGCATTGAAGCCCTTGCTGTCTACATTATGAAACATGATATTGTAATAAACAACAAAATAACAATCTTCTTTTCAAGAATAGTAAAGACAAAGGTTCAAGGGAAGGGAGGTGGTATTATAGCCCAGAGGTGGTATTCAGTAGGTTCTGACAAATGGTGGGATTCATTTTTTTTTACTATTGGTTCTGTACGCGTGGCTTGGTGGGTGTGGTAGGGGAATGATACCTTAAAATCTCCAGTCAGAGGTGGTATTTGCCAGTTCTCCAAACTACTCAAAATTTCTGCTACTGGTTCTCCAGAACTGGTCAGAACCTGCTGAATACCTGTAGTTCTGATCAGTTCTGGAGAACCAGTAGTGGAAATTTTGAATAGTTTGGAGAACCAGCAAATGCCACCTGTGACTGGCCCTGCCCCCATCTATTCTCTGCCTCCTGAGTCCCAGCTGATCGGTTGGGTCTTCTTTTGTTGCCCTGCACAGGAGAACGGAGCTGGAAAGCAGGCTAGTGGGCTGGGGAGAGAATGGGGATTTTGCAGTATATCCTTCCCCTGCCACTCCCACCAAGCCACACCATGTCCACCAAGCCATGCTCACAGAACTGGTAGTAAAAAAAATTGAATCCCACCACTGGAGTAGTCCATTGAATTACATGAAAGGTGTCAGGTTAAAAAAATCTGTTGGGAGAAATGTTGGCTGTTGTGAAAAGTCATTTATGTATGATGATACAATGTTCAGCAAGAGGAGAGGAATGCAGGGACATTTGCGGTGACAAAGAAAGCCAGATTTTGGGGGTTTCCTACCAAAGCAAAGACTGAAAGGAAATTACAATATATATATAGCATTCCCACACATCATAACTAGTTTTCAAATTTATCCCAGGATTCTTTTCCTGAAAAGTTAATGTTATATGGTACCTCTTCCAGTTAGAAAAGAAAGGAGATTGGGGGGGGGGGGGCAGTAACACATCAGTAACTGTTATATCAGTATTCCTTGTTTTCTCCAATTGTTTTCTGAGCTCCTTGGTTCATGAGTTTCTTGAAAATACCTCTACTGTGGTGCCTTAATTTCTATCTTTATTTTTATGTTTAAGACAGTGCCTTCTTCTAGATGTACAGAAAATTGCTACCCAGGATATGCCAAGCTCATGAAAGAAGGAGCACCTGTTTGCTGCCATGACTGTTCTCTATGTATGGAAGGAACATTCTCAGTGGAAGAAGGTAGGTGGCTCTGGAGAATAAAAGGAAACCAAGAACCTCTAATAGGATTCAAAAGACAATGGTGCACTACGTTTTCATCTTTCAAGTCATATTCAGCTCCTTGTTCCATAGAACGTCTTCCCTATTACACACTGTTCATCATTCATGATTTTTTTTTTCTCATGATCCTAGATAGACTTTCATGAAGTATAGTGGGAAAGTATTTTTTAATAAATTCTCCAGTTCTCACAATATCCTTATCCTACCCATCACTTTCAAAAACATGTTTTAGGTATTGTAGAAAGTATTGGTTTCAGTTGCATTTTTTTTTTGTTACAGTTGCACAAATACTTACACATAGCCAATGTTTTTCAGATGCAGCCCATTGCAACAAGTGTCCAGATGACCAGTATTCCAATGAGAAGAGAAATAAGTGTATCCCCAAAAGTATAAGCTTCTTGTCCTATGAAGAAACATTGGGATTCATCCTGGCTTCCTTTACCCTTGCTTTCTCCTTAATCACTGCCTTTGTTTTGGGAATCTTCACTAAATACAGAGAAACTCCCATAGTCAAAGCCAACAACAGGGACCTGACCTATATTCTTCTGATCGCTCTTCTCCTTTCCTTCTTGACCTCCCTTCTATTCATTGGACGCCCCAAGAAAGTGACCTGCCTTCTTCGACAAAGCATCTTCAGTGTTGTTTTCTCAGTTGCTGTGTCTTCACTGCTGGCAAAGACCATCATGGTGGTGGTGGCATTTTTGGCCACAAAGCCAGGCAGCAGGATGAGGAAATGGTTGGGAAAGACTCTGGCCAACTCTATTGTTGTATCCTGTTCTGGGATTCAGGTGGGCATCTGCATGATATGGCTTGGAATCTCTCCCCCATTCCCAGACTCTGACATGCATTCCCAACCAGGGTATATCCTGCTGCAATGTAATGAAGGGTCAATCATCATGTTCTATATTGCACTGGGTTACATGGGCCTCCTGGCTGCAATTTGCTTCTTGGTGGCTTTCCTAGCACGCAAGCTGCCAGGGACCTTCAATGAAGCCAAGTTGATCACCTTCAGCATGTTGGTTTTCTGTAGTGTTTGGATTTCCTTTGTCCCAACCTACCTGAGCACCAAAGGAAAATACATGATGGCTGTGCATATCTTCTCCATTCTGGCCTCCAGTCTGGGCTTAATGGGCTGCATCTTTGTTCCCAAATGCTACATCATTATCCTAAGACCTGACATGAATACCAAGGAGCACCTAACAGTGAATTCTAAAAAGGGAACATAATGTTTTACATACAGGTAGATGGAAGGATGGACAGTTGTGTAGGAAGTAGAGGGAAGGTAGAAAAATAGGAGGTAAATAAAGATAAAATATACATGAAGCCATATTTTGGTGCCTCTTATTTGATAAGTCAGACACAGTGTTAAAACATGATTTATGACAGGATTCACATAAAATGCTAGTGCTAAATCAGATAAACTCCATGAGGGCCTGGTGCATTATGGCAATCTGGTTATTATAAAAAACATCTGACTGTGGTATTCTGAGACCTGATGTGAACACCAAGGAGCACCTGATAGTGAATTCTAAAAGGGAATCCCATTGTTTAGGTGGATGAAAGACTGGAGACATGGTAGATAACATGAGGTAGGAAGATAGACAGATAATTTTCAATATATACATGATGCATGATGGCCTGGCACATTATGGCAACCTGGCTGTGATAAAAAAAAAAACTGACAGTGATATTCAGACTATTTTGAATTTTGTCACCTCTGCACCTTTTTAAAAGTATAGTAACTTTAACAACCCATAATACACACAAATACACTATTAGCCTGAAACTCCTTTTTAACCTTCCAATACAGTATCCTGTTTCCCTGGTCAACCTCATTTCTTCCTTTGACTTCAGTTACTCTTAATTTTTTTCCTCTGTGGTTTCAGAAGTAGCTATCATATTCAAGGCACGCTCTGATTAGTGTAGAAGAAACTGGAAGTATTATTTCTTGTCATTTGGAAACTATATTTGTTGATACAGCTTAAATTTCCTTTATCAGTTTTAAATAATTTTGAATGTGTTAGTTTCCTCCCATGTTAGCTATTCCAGTCATTTTGGGGTTATCTGCAAATTTGATAAAAGAACATCCAAGTCATCAATAAAATACACAAGATCAGTTTCAGTAGTAAACCAGAAAGAATCTTGTGACACTGTCCGTGCCCTACCACAAGAACTTTATTATGAACTGGAATTCTTTGATACAGAAAATCCTTGTTCAATGAAGCCAGAAAGTGGAATAAAAGTTAACCTGATTTTTAACCACTGTGCCAACTCTTTCTGGTATGAAACTGGTATATTTAGTCCTACCACATGTGCATTGCCCCTTTCTGTGGAACAACTATTTCAGCTTGTTATTTTGCAGGCAGTGTAAGGATATGAGACAAACCATTTTAGATTATTCAATATGCCTTGATGGAGCAATCATCCAGAACAAAAGGGGTTCTAGATGCAGAGAACTCTGTATTTTGGAAAGCACAGGAAGTCTACAACAAAAGGAAACTTTAATTTTTTGCAGAACATTCAATATCCATAAATGTAAAAAAACACAGTATAAAAAAGAGCAAAGAACATGTCTTCTAAGTACTATTTGGTTCTGCTCTACAATCAGCTAGTTTGTTACAGAGCAATAAAGGGAATCACAATACTTTCCCAAATGTCAGTTCCATTCTTTAGGTCAGGAGTCCCCAACTTCCAGGTCACGGACCAGCACTGGTCTGTGGGCCACCAGGAATTGGGTCATGCAAGTGAGTGAAACAATGCCCCTCCCTCGGGTTCACAGAAAAACACCCTCCATGGAACTGGTCCCTACCCTACTGCCCAAAAGGTTGAGGGCTGCTGCTTTAGGTAACTATATTCCTTTGGTTTATAGGAAAGAGAGTGAGAAAAATTGAGAAGGCAGCTCACAACTCTCACAACATGGCCAGCATGCTTAAATCATACAGTCCCTGTCCAAAATGGCTAGATTTTCCTGGGAGGTATCTTGCCTTTCAGGTTTTGGATAGTTGCAAATGGGAATGAAAATGGTTTGCCTCTAGAGGCCTCCTACTCCCTTTCCAAGCTTTAAACAGCAGGAAATATTGGCGACATCCATTGTTCATAGCCCATCAGAATGTCTCCTACAGGCCCTTAGAAGGTTGGGAGACATGAAATGTGGGTCCCAACTCTTCAAACATTACTAATCCCTGACAAAACCCGAGTTAAGGATCACCGTCTCTCTTCACAAGAGATTTTGAAAAGAAGCTTCTCATTTAGTGAGGAGCACCATTAAGTCACCCATCCATAACTAGGTATCTTCTTGGTGGACTGGATTTTCAATGTTGAGAATTCCAGATGTTCTTCTCCAACATACCAGATCGAGGATGGCTCCTTTACTAATCGGGCCCTCATAAACCTAGAAATTGAGCCGTTTCAATCCTCAGTAGCTGAAAGATTAGGATGATGTGGAAATGAGGTACAAGGAAATGGAGATCTGGATTGAGAATTATAGAGGTGATGGTGTTGAGAAATGCATGGCCTACAAGCAAGGCTGAACTGTTTTAATGACAGAGAATGAGTTGACATTTTCTCTGAAGCCAAAAGAAAGGGTGAAGTGATTCTTCAGAAAATGAAGCCCCCGAGAAGACAGCTAACAGAATCCCTCTATCTGCGTCAAAAAAGGACAGTTGGCCTCCAATATAATTCAGAGATACTCAGATCCTCTGGAGATCCCACTTCATAGGCAGGGTGGGGAAATCAGGAGGGAGGAGAACTGTACCGTGGTCTCCTTACTTCACTATTGCCCAGATTCCTTCTCTGGGATCTAGGGAAACAATGCCTTTGCGCTTCACGGAGGCCTTGGCAACTCCCAGGCCCCAGCCATCTTCACTGCCTACAGTGACTTCCCAGTAGTACCTGCCTGTGTTAAATTTCTACATGCCATCCTGAAAAGACATTGATCGAATCTTTTAGAGCAATGGGAATGAAGTCTAGGCCAGTTTCCTAGGATCAAGCTTTTCTGATTCTCAGATATAATGAGTTTGGGGTGAGCTGTGTCTGGATCCAAAGTCACTTGAGCTACAAAGGGCAGGGAGAAGGAAAAAAGAAGCATGAACAGAACACCAGAGGTGAGCAAAACTCATCTCCTGAGCCTAGACAAGGGGGTCTTCAAACTTGACAGCTGTAAGACTTGTGGACTTCAACTCCCAGAATTCCTCCTCCAATCGTGTTAGCTCAGGAATTCTGGGAGTTGAAGTCCGCAAGTCTTAAACTTGCCAAGTTTGAAGAACCTTGGCCTAAACATATTCATAAACAGAATATGACTCTGGAATACAGGGTAGTCCTTGACCTATGACCGTAATTGAGCCCAAAATTTATGTTGCTATGTGAGGCATTTGTTAAATGAGTTTTGCCCTCTTTTATTACCTTTCTTGACACAGTTGTTCAGTGAATCACTGCAGTTCTTAAGCTAGTAACATGGGCCGAGGTGGCGCAGGGGTTAAAGTAGAGTACTGCAGGCTACTTCAGCTGACTGCTAGCTGCAGTTTGGCAGTTCGAATCTCACCCAGCTCAAGGTTGAACTCAGCCTTCCATCCTTCTGAGGTGGGTAAAATGAGGACCCAAATTGTTGGGGGCAAGAGGCTGACTCTGAAACCGATTAGAGAGGGCTGTAAAAGCACTATGAAGTGGTATATAAGTGCTATTACTATTGTTAAATGAATCCTTCTTCCCCCTTGACTTTGCTTGTCAGACGGTCACAAAAGATTGTCACATGACCCTAGGGACACTATAACCATCATAGGGGACCAGAGGCTAAAAGATACAATGAACAGTTGCAGGAACTGGGCATGGCTAGTCTAGTGAAGAGAAGGACCAGGGGAGACAGGATAGCAGTCTTCCAATATTTGATGGGCTGTCACAGAGAGGAAGGGGTCAACCTATTTTCTAAAGCACCCGAAGGCCAGACAAGGAATAATGGATGGAAACTGAACAAGGAGAGATTTAACCTGGAAATAAGGAGAAACTTTCTGACAGTGAGAACAATCAACCAATGGAACACCTTGCCCTCGGAAGTTGTGGGAGTGCCATCACTTGAGACTTTCAAGAAGAGATTGGACTGCCATTTGTCAGAAATGGTGTAGTGTCTCCCGCTTGGGCAGGGGGTTGGACTAGATGACCTACAAGGTCCCTTGAAACTCTGATTATCTGTTAAATCATAAATATGAGCCAGTGGCCAAACATCTGAATTTTGATCATGCAACTACAGGGACGCTGCAAGGATCGTTAATGTGAAAAATGGCCATAAGGCACTTTTGGGGGTACCACTGTAACTCTGAACAGTCATAAAACGAATAGTTGTCAGTCGAGGACAGTGGTGGGATTCAAAACATTTTACTACCAGTTCTGTGGGCATGGCTTGGTGGGCGTGGCAAGGGAAGATACTTTAAAATCTCCAGTCAGAGGTGGGATTTGCTGGTTCTCTGAACTACTCAAACTTTCCGCTACCAGTTCTCCAGAACTGGTCATAACCTGCTGAATATCCACCTCTGGTCAAAGACTATCTGTAATCCTTTCTGAGTTTTGTGCTCTTCAATATCCTTTAGAAACATTCCTTCTAAACTTCAACTGTTCCATGGGTAAAGTTCCATAGGTACCCTTAAAAAAATACGAGGCATTGTTGAAAAGACAATGATGGTTCTCTATCCTTTTTACCTGTCTTTTAAGGTTAAAGGTAAAGGTTCCCCTTGCACATACGTGCTAGTCGTTTCCGACTCTAGAGAGCTGTACTCATCTTTGTTACAAAGCTGAAGAACCAGCGCTGACTGAAGACGTCTCTGTTGTCATGTGACTGGCATGACTAAAAGCCAAAGGCATATGGAACGCTGCTACCTTCCCACCAAAGTAGTCCCTAATTTTCTACTTGCATTTTTACATGCTTTTGAACTTCTAGGTTGGCAGATGCTGGGACAAGGAATGGGAGTTCATTCTGTTATATGGTGCTAGGGATTCGAACCACCAAACTGCCGAACTTTTACATCCTCCTAACTTAAGCAGTTGTGACACTCTTTACAGCCCTTTCCAAATTCTCATAGAAGACCCATATTTGCATCCTAGGATTATAGACTTGGAAGAGACCACCAGGATGCCTACTTCTACAAACAAAACGAGGTGTCAACAGTTCATATTTAAAAATTGGATTTTTTATTATCCCACCATTGTAGCTAACATCTTGACTTGACTAACAACACACCTGATGGAGCCCCAGGGCCAAAATTTAATCAGGCTTATGAATATGATCTTTTTTGGCCCGAGAAACTTACCTTTGTGCAGTGGAAATCCAATATTTATTGCATCTGGGGCAGAAAAATAATAATAATGAGCATTCCTACAGAAGATGTTGGGACTCTAGAAAGAGTGCAGAGAAGAGCCACAAGGAAACAAAGGACTGGAGGCTTTTTTTTTTTTAAGGAACCGCCGAACTGCTGACCTTTCTGATCAACAAACTCAGCATCTTAGCCACCGCATCCCATGTATAGTTAGCCATACATTACATTTATCCAAACTACAATGGCTAGATTCACTTAATATACATAGTCGTATTAACAATTTAGTGTAAGATGTCACTCCAGTAACTGCTATGATTACATAAGAGCCATGGTGGTGCAGTGGTTAGAATACAGTACTTCAGGCTACTTCTGCAGATCACCGGCTGCCTGTAATTTGGCACTTTGAATCTCACCAGGCTAAAGGTTGACTCAGCCTTCTGTCTTCCAAGGTCGGTAAAATGAGGACCCAGATTGTTGGGGGCAATATGTAAACCACTTAGAGAAGGCTGTAAAGCATTGTGAAGCAGTATATAAGCCTAAGTGCTATTGCTATTGCTTTTTGGGGGGTGAAAGGGACCATCTTCACACAAGGAGTCCCAAAAGGAAATGCCATCTTTTAAGATGGCAAGATATATATGCAACTTCAACAGTACATTAACTAAGATTGTTTTAAAATCGAAGATTGCTAGCAGTCATTCTCCAAGTTTCAAGGCAGAGGCTTCTAAGATCTACCCAGAAACCAAATCTGTGCCCTTCTGCATCCTAATCAGATATTCTGCCACTTTGTTAACAATCTAATCTTTAGGAACTCACCATGGATGTCTTCTAAGCATCCATTCAATCTGGGATATGTAGCCAGTACCAAAATCAAGCTATTGTTTGAATCCTTTCACATGCAAGAATGATTTTTGTAGCTGTTGCTACTGTTGGACCATTAAGAGGTAAGGATATCATTTACTATGATCCATTAGTAGATCCTAATCTACTTTCTACTTTACACAATTTAGGATCGAGTTGAAGAATTAACTCAACAGACTTTCAGCATAAACCCTCAATCAATAGACAATTTTACAGTCCTTCTGGTTTGCTTTTACATGGATCCAGAATGACCCAAGTCATTTTTCCTCCCCTACAGATCTATTTCTAGTGTAAGGTCACTTACTTCATCAAGGTGCTTCCAGCATCCTAGAATGGATGGAAAGAAAAAGAAGAGAGGTCTCAGTGCCATTCAATGTGTACTTCTCACATCCTGGATATTCATAATGTGTCCTTAATCTTCAGAAACATTAAATGAGAAGAATTGGACCAAATGGAGGTAGAGAGAGTGAATTGGAGACACCAACTCATCTCTCACACACTCCCTATATTTTGTGTTTATACCATTCTTTTTCCAAGGAACGCTTCCTAAGGATAGATGCAAGAATTATTGCCCATTTCTGTCAGAGTATATTCATGAACTAGAATAGAGCATGGAAACAAGGTCAGCCAATGAATACGCATAGCAACTAAATCAGCCAATGAGGACAGTTTTGAAACTGAAACTAGAAGTAACCTAGGCGTAGCTCTATATTAAGCTCTGCAGCTCTGCAGCTATGTTAAGCTCTGAGTCTGTCTATTAGAATGAAACTGCTTCTCTCCTCTTGCTTGCCTGCTGAACTAAAGTAAAAGAGAAACTAGCTTGCCTGCTGAAGCCTGGAGCTCTGGTCTGAACTTGCAATATGTTTCTGTTTGAATTTGCTCCATATTGGAGAAATCTACAACTAGTTTGTAAAATCTACTTATTATGTTTATAAAGATGTGAAATGAAGCATCAGCCATCTGTGTTTATTTTTCTGCCACTAAATTAACACTGCAAAACTCTGAATAATTTCTACCCTATTGTCTTACCTGTAGGAGTTCTTTTATTGGTTGCTGGCATTTCTCCTGCAATTCCCAGATGACAGCCTCCAGGGGGCAGAGCTCTTTGGAGACCTGGTTAATATGCTCCTCTTTCTTCTGTGCTATGTTATCTTCAATCTCCTCCATCCCAGACAGCAGAAAACTCTCTTGTTCTTTAAGAAACTGGTACAGCTCCTCAAAATGAGCTTTCATGACTTCTCTGTTGCTTCCTACTTCTATAACAAACCAAAGAAGAGACAATCTGTCCCAAAGGGAAAAAAAACACATTTACAAACAGTAGCAAATCCCATCACCTTTAACTTAAAAAAAACAATATTTGAATAGTCAAAACACTTTGTGTTAAATTTCTTCATAAACTTTGCTGAAATAGGCATTTGTTACATACAGAGGAGATAACGTGACTAACATATTCTCAAGCTAAGGCAGGGGTGTCAAACTCAATTTCATTGAGGGCCTTGGGGGGCTGGGGTGGGTATGGCCAGCATGTCACTTGTGTTAGTGGGGGTGCCTGCAGTGGCCCAAGCACTCTGCCAGCAAAAACGGGCTCCCAATCTCCGTTTTCAGCTGCAGTGGCCTCCTGCAACCCTCTGCCAGTGAAGAGCTTGGGGAGCCACACATGGCCCTTGCAAATTCCGTTTTCGATGGCAGAGGCATTGCAGGCTGGTTCTTTGCTATTTCCAGGGCAGCTCCATGGGCCAGATCTAAGCATCCACGGGCTGGATCTGGCCTCCAGGCCTTGAGTTTGACACCCCTGAGCCTGTTTCAAGTATAGCTTGGTATAAAAAAAATGACAGATTCCAGGTATGTAACTTGATAAGCCTTTTACGTGTTTATTCAACTGAATAAAAACGGGCCTCCCTTAGCAAGGCTGAACACACTTTGATGCTCATATGTTTGCTACATTGTCCACTTCTCCACCCAGAAGCACTGGCACACTCCATCCAGACAAGCTGGCACACCCTAGACAAGATAAAGAAGTGCAGAAATAGCCACCCATCGCCCTTGGAGGTCTTCTCAAGGACTTTGGGTGTTTCCTGAGGAATTTTCCATGACCTTGAAGGCCTGCAGAGGCAATGGTGACATTGACACATATGCTTCCTCAAGACTTTCAATAGGAACATTAAATTCCTGGTCAATAAAGGTTTGACAGTGGCAACTGAACACTTTTCCTGCATTCTTAAATCAATGGCCTCTCTCTGTGGGTGAAAGTTGCAACTGGATGGCACATCATGCTAATCCATATTAAATCCATATTAAAAATTCTTTTAAGTTCAGGGCTATGCTAAGCCTGCCTGGTGTGGTTTATTTAATAACCAAGATTAAGTGAAATTGATTGCAAGGTATGACTCCATACATGTTATCCTGATTCACATAGTACTCTAAACCAATGTTTTTCAAACTTGACCACTTCCACCTTTCCTAGCATTAGAGCCTTCCCCAGAGAGTCATGTCTTTGCATAAGACGGGGGTCTTCAAACTTCAAGCTTTAAGTCTTGTGGACTTCAACTCCCAGAACTCCTCTCCCAGTCATGTTAGCTCAGGAATTCTGGGAGTTGAAGTCCACAAGTCTTAAACTTGCCAAGTTTGAAGAGGTCATAAGAGTTCCAAAGAAGAATCATTTGACTCTGATCCTTTGTGCCTTGAGTAAGAACTCTGGATCAATTTATTCAATGATTTGTTGGTTCATTTTCCCGGCTGTCCAGAGTATTCTCAGGAGCCTTCTCCAACAGAAAAGTTCAGAATGTCAATACTTTTACAGAATATAGAATAACAGAGTTGGAAGGGACCTTGGAGGTCTTCTAACCCAACCCTTTGCTTAAAAAGGAGACCCTATACCATTTTAGACAAATGGCTGTCCAGTCACTTCTTAAAAGCCTCAAGTATTGGACTACCCATAACTTCTGAAGGCAAGATGTCCTACTGGATGATTGTTTTTACTGTCAGGACATTTCTCCTTAGTTTTGCTTCTCTCTTACTTCAGTTTCTATCCATTGCTTATCTTGCCTTCTGGTGCTTTGGAAAATAGGTTGAGCCCCTCTTCTTTGTGGAACCCCCTCAAATATTGGAAGACTGCTATCATGTCACCTCTAGTTCTTCTTTTCATTGACTAAACATACCCAATTCCTGCAACTGTTCTACATATGTTTTAGCCTTCAGTCCCCACAATCATCTTTGTTGCTCTTTGTCACTCTTCTTTTCTTGATCTGCTTCTTCAAAGTCCAACTTTCACTTCCACAATGTCATAGGGAATACCATGGTTTAATTACAGCTACTCATTTCCCAGTTAAGAGCAATTTTGATGTAGTGAGTAAAAACACCAGACTGGAAACCAGGAGATAGAGTTCTACCCTGTCTTAGGCACCAAGCCAGCTGGGGAATTTTGAGCCAGTCCCACTCTCTCTCAGCCTTAGGAAAACATGACAAGTATCACTTCCCAAAGCTTCCCAAGGAAACTGTACAGGCCATGGACTTGAGCTTGTATTCACCGTTGGAAGAAATATCCTTCTTGGTTCAGTTCCAAATGGAGAAAAAGACACTGGAAACATGGAGGCTATTTGGAAAGATGGTTTAATGGTGGACAGCAGGACCATGTGTCTTGGAGCTCCAAAGTGAAAAGGAAGGATGATCACATGCTTCAAGGTGAGAAGAGAAGGTCAAGAAGAGCTGAGATGCTGAGAGTGCCTGGGTTTTATAACCTTAGTTGGGATTTGAATTGGAGCTTGTACTCTGATTGGTTGTCAGACTCCCATGGGGCCATGCAGGGGCAACTCTGTAGGCTGTCCTGAGTTCCAAGTTTGGTTGAGCCTTGCTGAATGATGATGCATTGAAAGGGCATTGGGCAATTGCTAAGGTTTTACCTGGAGATTTTTGTTATTTAAAGTATTCTGGCCCAGGCCTTAATGGCTCACCCATTAACAAAGGTGGCGATGAGCTTCTACTTCTGAGGTGAGCTTCTGCTTCTGAGTTTCTACTCTTTTTAGAGGAAATATTCTTCCTTTTTAATATTTCCTAGGATATTTCAATTTTCTAAGAGAGGGGTAGGTACTAACTTCCTACATCACCAGAAGTAAACAAAAATGGACTCAAAGGCACTATTATCATTCCCAGTTAAAAATGTCACCTACTATTAGAATTTGGCATTCGTAGTCCATGGATGACAGAAGTTGCAAAATCTCATCTCTTTCCTTTTTCAAGGCATTCAGGCAACTGCAAAATAAATCCTGATAGGGGAAAAAAATAACACCAGGAAGTTAGTAAATGTCTTTAGAGATTCTCAGATCCTGGTCATGGTTGTCCCAAAGATGCTTTTTTTTTTTTCCCCAAAAGGCAACTGGACTTTCTTCTTAAAAACAAAGAAAGTCCAGGTGCCTTTTGTGGGGGTGGAGAGAAGCACCTTTGGGAAAGGAGGTTAGTATTCATTTCTGTGTCTATAAAACTATCTAATCAGTTGAAGTCAGTCTGGGAAAATCCTTTACAGATAGTCCTTGATTTACAAGTCATTTTAACAACTGTTCAGAGTTATAATGGCCTTGGAACGGGTGGCAGGATAAAATATTTCCCCTAAAAGAGAAACAAAAATCTTAAGGGAGACAGAAACTCAGACCCTCAGCTCCCTCCTGCCCCACCATCACCCCAAGCAGATACTGATTTGGAGCAGCTTTAGAAATGCAGATTTGGTGATCCGTTACTCCCTACAGCAAGATTTGAACAAAGGTAGAATTAGCCCTCAGCCACAATAGGAATTGCCCAACACCCTTTCAGAACACAAGCCTCTTCATTGCATCATCTCAGCAGTTCAAACTTCAACCAAACCTGGGAGCTCAAACAACCTCAGCTATAACCCCTAACATGGTCCCATGGGAGTCTGAGAACAGCCAGTAGAATACATGTTCTTGCACAGGAACAGGAAGCCCAAGTGCAAAACTCAAGAGAAGGTATAAAAACCCCTCACTCTCAATTCCATGTGGTCCACTGGCCAGAACCACCCATGTGCCTCTGCTTCAACAATAAATGGACCCTCTTTCCAATCAGCCTCCAGCCTCCATTTTGTCTCCAGTGCCTTTCTCCCGGCTTGGAACTGGACCTGGATATTTCTTCCAATGCTAGTATAATAAATGGAAAATCCCTACCTTGAACTCCAGAGCAGCCGTTTCAATAGGGATGACAGTGTGACTCTGGTGCTCCTCAGATCCACGACACACTGAACAGACAAAGACCTGGTCATTCTTACAGAACAGCTCCAAATGCTCTTGATGTTGCTGACAACATTTGGAGTCTCCTTCTGCCTGATCTCTTAATTGCTTGAGTAATCTCATATTGTCCAGTTGCTGGTTTTGGCTGAAGTTCTGAAGTTGACACAGAGCACAGGCAAGTTCTGATAAAGATTCTTTCCAGCACTGGAACCTCATAATGCAATCTCAGCAGAAAATGTGCCCACAATTAAGAATTACAGGGTCTTTAAAATATTGCCCACAAATGGAGCAGTTTGCTTCCAAGACACATGTTTCCATGGGGATGTCATCCATCATTGGACCAGATTTGTTCAGGCTGAGGTTTGTTTGGACAAGGCTAAATCAATTTGGCAAACTAAGGCACTATGATGTTTAAACCATGATTACATTCTGACATAAATCAGTTCCATCAATTATGGTTTATTCAACAACAATACAGGAAAATATTTGTTCCCAGGGTTGAAATGAGTCCTTGGTGCACTCTGAGCTTGGTTGCTTTCTTGCAGATGTTTCATTTGGGTAATGAGGTAACCAGGTAACATCATCAGTGCTTTTATGTAATAGATTAGACACACCACAATCTAGCATCAAGCTTTTGGAAAGAGGGGAAGCTTAATCTAAAAAAGATTAAAAACTCAAAAGAGAGTTTGATACAGTATTATCCAGAAGGAAGAAGACAATTCTCACCTAGAGAGAAAGGAAGGTAAAAATAAATAGCTTCAATTTATTTGCATTTTAGCAATCAGGATACACTGAAACTGCTATCAGGAAGGTTTAATTTTTTAAATATTTAGTTAATGCAATGCCATTAATAGCAAAATGTATGTTTATTTCTGTGGGGACCTCCCAGACCTAAATTTCCATCATTTGTTCAAATATTTTCCCTGTAGCACAGAGGTCTCCAAACTTGGCAATTTTAAGATGTGTGCACTTCAACTCCCAGAATACCTCAGCAAGCCATGCTGGCTGGGGAATTCTGGGAG